AGGCTGCCTCCCATTCACCAAGATATTATTCCCTTCAGAGGTAGTTCCCTTATACTTCCTGCAACAAATAAGCAAAGCAAAAAAAAAAAAAAAGAATTAAAAAACATTTTCAACCATTCTTTTCTTTTTAAATGTTTTTAGCTGTAGATAGACACAAGACCTTTGTTTTATTTATTTTTTTATGGTGCTGAGGATTGTACCCAGTGCCTCCCACATGTGAGGCAAGTGCTCCACCACTGAGCTACAACCATAGCCCTTTGCCATTATTAATTAGGCAAATCAATCAAATTTTGGACTTTCCAAAGCTCATTTTCAGGATGTATTCACTTCAAAGTCTGGTTTCTTTCAGTTGTTATAAATGCAGCATATTAATTTAACTTTATACTCAGTCTAGTTCAGATATTTCCCATAAACGTGTTGAAGAGTTTTTAATGTAAGCCTTTGACCACTCATGATGGAAGATGAGTTGTGAATAATGTTTTCTCAATTTCTTCTACATTATAAATAGAAAACCATGCTGCATATGCTCATAGTCTGGCTAGAGGTGTGTTGCCTGGTCATTGAAGAAGACTATTCACACAAACCTACTTCAAGACAGGAATACTGATGTATGATTTCATCAAAATCTAACATTTAACAATATCATGATTCTAATGAGTTGAATTCAGGCTGTGTATTAAGAAATGCATAGTTCATTTTTTTATAGTGCTTTTAAAATTCTTTCTTCCTAAATTCTTCAGGGTTTAGAAAGTCTGCCCATGATGATGATTCTCTCCATCTTTCCATTGGACAAACACAAACTCCTGCAATGTAGAGATTAGAAAAGAACCAGGTGAACTCAGCAGGACAGATTATTGCAGCTCATCAGTGACAGGCACAAAGCCCCAAGACAGAGAGAAGCTCAAATGAGTCTGGTGAAAACAACAAAGGAGATGATGAAGGACCAGAAGCAGGATTAAGGTCTTGACTTAAATCGCCTATAATTATTGACTGGTCCCATTTACAAAAAAAAAAAAAGAAGGATTAGCTGAACATGTCTAAAGAAGATAGATGAACTTTTCTGAAACAGATGGAAATTTTCTTACATCACTTGGGCACAGAGAGAAAATGTATTCACATTCACTCTCTTTCTCCTTCCTTCCTTCCTTCCTTCCTTCCTTCCTTCCTTCCTTCCTTCCTTCCTTCCTTCCTTCCTTCCTTTTCTTTCCTTCCTTCCTTCCTTC